TACATAATGTGAATTGCCACATAATTCAAAAGAGCCAAATGGCCATTTGTGATCTTGCTTTTTTATGTTCTAACAATTTTATCCATATCCTCCTCAATACCAAGAATAAAATATAGAATAGTATATTCTCCAATAGGATCTCCGACATGCCAGGCAAGAAACCAAATTCTCCCACAATTTTTTTTGTTTTAAACTTAACATTTAACAAAAAAAAAAACACTTGCATATTAATAAGGAGGGATGTCTTGATTGCAACAACACACTACTTCATATGCACTGTTCAGTGAAACCCAAGAAAAGTACATTATAACAGGGCCATACATTCCAATTTGTTAGTGTGCAAAGACTTGTGAATTGTTGCACAATGTTTGAGACTCCTGTTGATGAGGTCAATATAGCCACTGGAACACAAAGAACATATATATTTATAAATAATGATTTCAGGCTCTCAGCAGTTTAGAAAAGTTATCTTAACATGGAAAAAAATGCCAAAGCTCTTGATAAAAATATTTGTTAGTTACTTAATTCAAATGTTAACACAGAGCCCTTCATCCTGCTAGTAACTCATTTTTAAAGAACTTTTTTTTTTCATAAGACAGATGTTTAAAAAACAAAACTATTCTATGGGGTCATGGACTTCAATAAATGTTCAAAAGGTACTTGATAAATTTTGGAACAAATAACACCTTATCACTATTCCCATGGTTGAAAAACAACAACACTATGATTTTGGTTTTTCAATACCTTGGTGATAAATCTTTCAATTTTGTTAGAGCCTTTCCACATACTTTACTTAGCTTTGTCTTCAAAAGTTAATTCAAACAGACTTAGTAAACATTTTGATATAAAGTTCCCAAAATGCTAAGATAACTAAATGTTTACAAATACACTCCTCTTTTATATTCAATGGTTCCATCACAATGCATCTCTAAGAGAAAATTATTGAACATGCAACATTTTTATCATATGATAACTCAGTCCTTGCATACAATGAGTGACACATTCAAAGCTGATGTGATATTCCTGTCACAAGAAAACATTTTGACATTTGTTTTGGCTTCCAATGAACAAACATGTATTAAGGAGTTTCTTGCAATCAAGATGTTATGCAGGAGTTCCCAATAACATTAAAATATATATAAAAAAAACAAATACAAATTCATCCAGAACCTACAAGTGTTTCTCGTATAAAACTTGTTCAAAAGCATGTATAAACGTATCAAGAATATGCACCAGAAATTATAAATAGACTCAGAGCTTATAACAATGACATTAAGTCATGTATAACCCATTAAAAATCAAGTACAAGATTATCAAAATTTGCAATTAGTCCTAAAGATATTGGAAGACTAATAACAATAATATCTTGTACAGATAGTACTAACCTAGAAACCTCCAATAACAGTGTTAAGCTTACTTGGAACCTGTCTCAAAGTCACTTACCACTAAATAAGTACAAAAAAGGATAATGGCCTAAGAAGGGGGGGGGGGGTGCACTATATAACCTAACCAATAGAACTAGATCCAACTCAGTTTAGAACTATAACACCGTACTTTTACCATTACCTCATAATTTCAATAATCATTTGAAGTTTACTTTTCAACAAGTACCCTAATGCTGAATGATAATGTATGACATGCCTTCTCTTGGTGTCAGAACAACGTATAAAATATTAAAATTACACAAGGGATTTCTGAATGGCACAAACAACAAAATGTTCAATGTAGCAAAGAATAACTATTTTAGATATGATTATCACATCTCGGTATTGTAAGGATCACTCTAAGGTGTCTTAATTAGT